GTTTTTCTAAATGAAATACCCTATATATTATTGCATTTTTGGATTCTCTGAGCAAAATAAGTGTTTGTTTTACTAAGATTTATAATGTCTAAATCTGAAGGTTTTTTAAATAATTCGAATTTTCAATCAAAATCTAATATTATTTTCATGTGTCAAATACTTTAGAATTATTTAAGTTATGTAAACGTAATTGGTAGTGTAGTGTAACAAGAAATCATATTTTATATCCCAATGATAATAAACTTACCATTTTATACAGGGTGTCCACAAATTTAAACTAATCAAATAAGAACTTTAAGTGGCTCTAACTTGACTAATTTAAATACAACCCCATATTTTTCAGCTTACCAGGAAATGCAGTTTTTAATTACCTATCGAATGGTACTAGGAGGTTTATAACTAAGTTTTTGCCTTTTTACAAAACACACCAAATAATGGGCTTCCGTGCCGTATAGCGTGAATAACCCTGTATATCGAGTTATATCTAGATATTTTTATTAAAAAATTGATATATGTACTTGTCTCACATTTTAAAGAATATATTAACACTAACGCGTTGATCTACTATTATGCGCTTACCTCCGCTAGATTTTACGCGCGGTTGGGTTTCGTTAGAATATTCTATATACGATTTATAAGTGCACAATTGAACAGATCAATTTTTAATATACAAAAAGGTGAACTAGTAATGACCAAAAACCGTAAATTGTTGTTTTTATGAAATTACTAATTTACATATTTATTATTATAACTGCTCTATCTATATCCAATGACCACCTTAACTAAAGAAATCAATTTTTAATATACAAAAAGGTGAACTAGTAATGACCAAAAACCGTAAATTGTTGTTTTTATGAAATTACTAATTTACATATTTATTATTATAACTGCTCCATCCATATCCAATGACCATCTTAACTAAATATACAAATAAAATTTTGTGCATTTTTAGATCTGGAAGAAAGTAAACACTGTGTTAGAAGAACAAAATGCTATTGGTTCTCACTTGCTTCTACGGTGTCAAATTCATCCGGTTAAGTTGACTAAAGTCTCTAAAAGCTTAGATTTTGAGAAAGTGAGCGAAGGAGGATGCGATATGATTTGCAACGTCGAACTTGATTGCGGGCATACGTGCAAAAGACTTTGTCATATACAAGATACAGAGCACAAGCAATACAGATGCATGGAAAAGTGTTTAAAGTATGCTAAAGTTAAAAATATTAATGGGGAAATATACTTTCCGTTTTTCTTTAAAGAAAATGCACAAACTGTCCAGGAAATATTATTCAATAAGGGTTATTGTTAAAACGTTTATTCATTTTGATGTAAGGCAATGTTTTCTTTTTAAAAAAGTGGCATAACCAATCCTGACTTACTACAGCACTAATAGTATCCTCCATGTTCTAGAACTTTCGAAAATTCTCATCTCATTTAAATTGCCCAGTTTTTTTTTGTTGAGTAAATGGCATGAACATCATAAAAGGTTTTAATTTTTGTATTCAACTAATTTGACAAAATTCACTGACAATGTTTAGCACAAATATTGCGTTTCAACCAAATTTGTTTTATCCGAAAGTTAATAGTGTGAGGTACTAGGTGTCAAAGTGTAAATCAAAATGTGTGATAAAAACAATAAAAATTTTAACAGATTTTTTAAGTTTATAGTAAATTGTATTAATTTTTATCAGTAACTATTTTTTGTCAATATGAACTTACACCACTTTCAAAGAAAACGGCGCATATAATCCCACGTAGATTTTTGCTAGAAACTTATTAGATGATACCTTTGATTCTAACGTTTATATCTCAGACAATTTTAAAAAGTTTTGAAAACTGCATTCTGTGTTGCACAAGGGGCTACTTGTAGCAACAAGGGGTTACAGTCCATTATATTTTAAAAATTATATATTTATTTTTAGACCTCTTTGTAACGACGAATTGCATGTGTGCTTAAAACAATGTTACGAAGATTGTGGGCCTTGTATGTACATCGTTCGCCGTACTTTAGATCCGTGCGGTCACGAGGTCGATATGAATTGCCATAAAGATGCAGAGGACTTTAAATGTAAGGAATTGGTACACACGAAGTTACCGTGTGAACATGAAGCTGATAAACCTTGCCACGAGGATCCTCATCAGTTTAAATGTCTATTCCCCTGCGATACTAGAGTGGAACCATGTGGACATGCTTGCCACCAAACTTGTCATATCAGAGATGATCCTGATCATAGGAAGGTTAGTAACTTTTATTTATTAGCATCGATTTTGTATTAAGCGAGAAAACGCTCGTCGGTCGTGGTGACGCGACGCCGGTGTTATCTCGCTACAATTTGCAGTGTGTCTATGGTTCTTTATGGTTCTGGCTCTCTATCTCATCTCTTTATTCTGGCCCGGATGCGTTGACCCGAAACCCGACTAGGGGTTTCGAATTTCTGCGATGACCGGGTTATTTTAAATGGAACCCCGTATATTATTTTATTTTTTAATTCTACTCCAATTTCTAAATATATTTCATGTATAATATCCTATACATAAGTCTGACCGTTTTTGACATATTAAAAATTTTATGTAAAAAATTCGAGCAGCAGGCGCTCTTATAATTATTCATTTTTCCTATAAAAAAATATGTGTTACTTATTTTGAGTCGCATTCCTTGTTGATAGGGACTTACTGTAATAGAATTTCGATAATATTATGTATTAATAGGTATTAATAGAAAGCATTAAAAAATAAGTTTCAAAATGAAATTGAGAAAACCGCCCAAAACAAATTTTTCCACATAGAAACCCCCAATTTAAATAATTTTATCTTTAGTATTAAAAATAAGGGTAAGTTTATCTTTTAGAAAAGTGTTCAGTATTCTAAATACTGTCAATTTAATGCTTTTATATGGCTATTTTGCTGCCGTTTTTTTAAATTATTTATTAATTATTAGTTGGTTGTGCTTATTCCCCCCCAGTATGTAGTATTAAGCAAATAGATTTACCAATAAACCATATTTATATTTATGATATCTGCAATTTTAGTATATTTGTGAAGAACCATGTGCCAAAAGTAAAGTCGGATGCCGCCAAGATCCAGATGAGAAACACCTTTGTTCAAGATTGTGTTATCAAGACTGTGACGAATGCCTCAACAAAGTATCACGGCAGAGGTCATGTGGCCATAGGTCTAAAATACCTTGTAGTCTGGATGTCGAAGAAGTTGACTGCCAAAAGCCATGCAAATTAAAGCTGCCCTGTGGCCATGAATGCGCAAATCCCTGTTCCAAAGCTTGTGGACCTTGTAAAGTTAAAGTAAATGAATCGAATACTATTGCATTATATCCGTAATTACAAATCAAATATGTGATACCGTTTTAATTTTCAGGTAGAAAAAACTATTTTGGACTGTGGTCACAGTGTCAATATCGAGTGTTCCGTAAATCCAGAAAGGAAGCACTGCATTGCTCGATCGTGTCCGAGGCTATTGCCTTGTGGACATGAATGCCAAAAAAAATGTACTGATCAATGTACCGATGTATGCACTAAATTAGTGGACTGCAGTATTGAGTCGCCTTGTGGTCATGTTATTAAGAAAATTGAATGCCACATGAAAAGTACTAGTAAGTATATACATTATTTTTAACAGCATTTATAAATATTCAGTAGTTATAAGTATTGGAAGACCAGAATAAATATTTGCACTTTAATTTTTTATATGGGAGAATCTTAAATTTTGACTTCTATTAAATAATCGTCTAGAATGAGTCTGTTTATGGTGGTGTTATCGTTATCATCTGTAATGATATAAGTCAATGCAAATTTAAAAACGATTTGTAACTGTAACGTCTACAGGATGTTGTGTAATTGTTGTTTTTAAGTGCTTTTATTCAGTAATCCTTTTTAAGAGATTACTATAGCTTAAATTTTAAATTATTGACTATTAGTTTAGACATTTTTGACTAGTTTTTGTTGTTAACGTTGAAGCAAATTTCAACTGATTTTTTTAAATGAAAAACAGGACACTCATGGTCCATTTCATGTATCAGTTGAATACGATCACATTACATTTTTGCTAATTATGGTATTTATCGTATATAAGTTTCTACTAAAAAAATCGTACTCTATATAAAATACTAGTAAAAATGGTGAAAGTTGCCGCAATTGAACTGCTGAAATAATTGCGCTAAGAATAAGTTAAAATAAAGATCATTTAGAGTTAGATACACGTAAATAAAAATCGCATTAAAACTCTATCTATCGGAGATTTTGCCTGATCTCAAACTTCTAAATTTCCATATCATTAGATGGTTGACGAAAGAAGCATTTTGCACGAAAAAATTCTCTAAAAATAAATATATGTAATCAGATCCAATCGTAATATTTATATTAAATAATTATAAATAACGAAGATCTAAGTTAAATAATTTTTATACACTAGATGTTTTTCGACTGTTAATTTTGTTGACTAGTTTTTTTTTACTCTCAATCTCAGTTCCTAGTAAGAATAAATACTACTGTATATGACTTACTTTATAGTCTCTAAACGTCTATAAATAACACAATCAGGGCAATAACCCGAATGTAATCAAATGTAATGTTTGAATCAAATTGTAAATAGTTTTGATCACAATTTAAAATTGTATAAATTCGAACAAGAATGTTCGAAGCTGTGCTAGCGCGAAAAATGAATATAACGCACAAAAAACCCTTCTGTGTGTCCGAAATGAAAAATAATTATAGTAACTCTTATTTTAAAAGATTATTTTATTGTCAAATAATACGATACAATACTTACAAACGTAAGTAAGTACAATTTTAACTAATGCTGGATCTTAACTTGACTGATCCCCAATTCTTAACAATCAAGAATATTTAACCGTGTATTTAAGAACACAGTAGCAGAAACACTGCAATAGGGAATGATAAACACTAAATTCCTCGGTTTTTATTTCAACCGAAATAAATGTTGATTCCGGTCTTTTCGATGGAAAAAATGATAAAAACACCATATGCCTTAACGTTTTGCGGGAAAATAAAATGTACGGAATCTTTTTTTACATAAGGTATTTTTTACATTTATTTTTTTAAATCATAACTTTGTCTTATTTTACAATTATACTGCATAAAAACACATACTTGAAAGTGTTTAGCTGATCTGAAAGCCCATCGCCTAAATAAAGTAAGCTCTCATGCAAAACCTAGTGGTATACCCAGACGAAATTTTGCTGATATTCTACTTCTAATCAAGACCAAATGTTGAATGAAAAAAATTAAATTATACGGTCAGAAATTTATTGTAATGTATGATAATGCTCGATCGCGATCAGCGCATATTGTGCGTAATTTCTTAGAAACTGCTGGTATCCATTTTAGAGCGGACGCCCGGATTTTAATCCTATGTTTTTGGTTTTATGAAAAAAAGGAGAAATGTTAAAAACACATAGCAATTAGTAAATAAGCTGTAAATTTATTAGTTTTTCAGACAAAGGAACGTTAACCCAAAGACGCAGTTTGAAAAGGATTGACAAGACTTTGGTTTCAAGCAAAATAGCAACGCACAGGGTGTTACAAAATGAAATACAGGCGCGATGTCCTCTCCATTGTCTCTTAAATAAAGAATCAATATTTCTTACCCTTGAAATAACAAGCCAAAGAATTAAGCTTCAATCTATAAGAAAATCAATTGAAATATGTTAATAAAATAGTTAGAAGACTTTGAACTAAAAAAGAATCTGGTGCGCTACTTTTTTTTAAATAAATACTGATCTGCTTTCACGCGTTATCCAAGCTCTGCTTTTTCATCTACGCTTAGTTGCGTTATTTCTTTGGTGGCTTAATATGGAAGTGATACTGTGTTAGTTTTCTTGATTGTTCAAAGCAAGGTTTAGTTGTTTGTAAAGTTTAACAATTATTGTTATGTTGCTCCGCCAATTTTGAAAATATCGAATGCCTTAAAATAGTTTATTTAAATAGGGGTTTAAGCGTTGAAAAGTACACGACTTTAGTGCATTTTACGGTATTTTATAAGCGTTTAATTATTTAATTAATATACTATTTAATTAAGTTTTTAAGTTGATAAATGATAATATAAAATGTTTTTACATTTTATATTCTCTATAGGGACTTCCATTGTAGGTCCATTTCAGAAAAATTTCAGCAAAAAATATTATGGTGTCCGAAATTTGAAGTTGAAAAAGGTTCTAGAAACATTTTTACAAAGGTGTTGTGTGGCGAGCGGTCCATTAAAATTGTATTTTATAATTTTCACTTTCAGCCTTTTTAAGTAAAACTTAAAAATAATGCGCTTTTTGTGTAGAAAGAATTGCTTAAGAATAACTTATACGTAATACTAAATAAATACTATACAGAATACTAAAACTGGAAAGACCTGAAATTTTAAAATCTTCAGAGCGATGATGGTGGCGAATTTTCAAAACAATTTTTGGTAAACTTTTGCTCTGGTCGTTTTTTTCAAGATAACCTTAATAACTTTCGGGAAAAAAAACTAAATAAAATGATTTGCTTTTTTTGCCAAATTCGAAGCTGAAAACGGTTTTCTAAAATTCCCTACAAAGAGATGAATGAGGCGAACAAAATTAATTTTGTCATTTTTGGCTGAAAATACCCCATGCTTGCCAGGAAAGAAGTAAATTATCAGAAAATAATGTTTTTTGCGCTTTTCATTAAAAACTTTTAAGTTTGGAATCGGTTTTTGAGAAAACATTAATGATTTTCGGGAAAATGTGGGAGGAATTTTTTTTAGTTTTTAGCGCGTGTGCAACGCTTTTGCAAAAAAAAATTTTTTGTAAAATTCTTACAAAACTATAAATTTTTCGCGTAAAATACCTCCAGATTGTCAGTATTTCTAAGTGAAACTATAAAAGAGAGTTTTTAAGTAGAAAGTGAAGCGAGAAAAAAATCAGGCAAAACTAAAATCCCACAGTTTTCCAACAAACTCTACAGGGAGAGATTCAGAGGTTTCAGAAGAAAAAACTAAATAAAATTATTTGATTTTTGTCCCAAATTCGAAGCTGGAAAGGGATTTTAACACTTTTTGCAAATCGATAAAGGTGCCGAGTGTTCTAATAAAAAAATTTTAAATTTTTCGTAGAAGATACCTTTCGATTGTCAGTATTTTTAAGTGAAACTTTAGAAAATTGAGAGTTTACAGGAAAGAGTAACTTTGCTAAAACTGGAAAATTCTGAAATTTTGAAGAAACTGAAAGTATTATTAATAAATGGTCCTGAAAATAAATCTAAAAACAACTAAAAAAAGGCCATCAACATTTTCCCATCAACGGAACAGAGTTACTGCGCCGGTGCGTTGTGTTGGGTTAGTTTGGGTCAACTCCTAAACATTCACTGAGTTACCCAGGCCTATTCCACTGAGGTAGCTACATAAATATTCACAATTCTCAAGCACTTTTAATTTTTTAGGTCCAAAGTTGTTGCTAAAATATTGCTCGGAACCATGTAACATTATGTTAAAATGCAAACACAAATGTTCGGGTACTTGTGGCGAGTGTATTCAGTCTCGCTTCCATAAACGTTGTGCTGAGAAATGTGCTCTACCACTCGTGTGCAACCACGAGTGTCTAACTCCGTGTCGAGAGTCATGCAAACCTTGCACTCGGCCTTGCGAAATGAGATGTGCCCATAGTAAATGTCAAAAGAAATGTGGTGCACCATGTACGCCATGTAAACAGATGTGCGAGAGACAATGTAAGCATTTAAAATGCACCCGTCGATGCGGAGTTATTTGCGATGTGGAACCTTGCACCCAAAGGTACTTGTTTGATAATAAAATATCATTAATCTTTTGCATACTAACACTCAACCAATTGTCAATTAATGCTGTTTTTTAGATGTACGAAGCTCCTAAAGTGTGGTCACGTGTGTGTAGGATTTTGTGGAGATCCATGTCCGCCTCTCTGCAGAATATGCGACAATGAGAAATTAACTGAAATTTTTTTCGGCAATGAAGATGAAGAAGACGCGGTATTTGTTTTATTGAAGGACTGTGGACATGTCCTCGAGAGTACTGGTCTTGAATCATGGATGAATGAAGCACAAGATCTTATTCAGTTCAAGCGATGTCCAAAGTGAGTTTATTATTATTTTGCTACCCGTTTGATGGATCATATGCATGGGCGTTGCGAATAAAATATATCGGAAGTGGAAAATACATGTCGTTTTCCGTTCTTTCAGGATTTGACGGAATCCATAATGTAGATTGTTAAAATCACGTTTACGTGCTCTTAAATGATGTGTTCTAATTAACTGGTTTTGCTAATTGCAAAAGTAATCTAGCTTCAGTTGTAAATTATTACAGAGAAGGATCATTTTTTTAGATATAAAGTCTTACATAATTATTTATTATTATTATTATCATATTATAATGAATTTTCATATATGTATATGAAATTTCAGCTTTTTAGGGACTTATCTCAAATTCATAAATTATAAAGATTGCCTTAATAACAAGGAAAATTTGTGGCAGAATTTTACTGACGCAGAAGACTTTCAAAACAAAAAAAAATTCTCATGAAAAATAATTTATTGAAATAATTATGAAATTATAATTTAAAAAAAAATTACAGAGCTAGCACTTGTTGAAAAGGGCTTAGTTGAAAATCATTTCGATGAAATTTTGATAATTATTAATACTAATTGTAAAAAAATCAAGTTTCAAAATTAAATTGACAACAATGGCTCAAAATTATTTTTTTGCATATAATTTTATCTTATTTTGTATTTAAAATAAGGGTCAGTTTGTGTAAGGTTGTCTATCCCAAAAGTGCTTGGTTTTGGAAATATTGTCAATTTAGTGTTTTGTTAGTTTGGTTTCCATATTTAATAGTTTCGATATTCAAACCATCAGCTCCTGGTGATTGACAACCCTTCATTTATTAAACAGATAAATTATTTCTTCATGCTTATATCCAAACCATGAACAAATATTCGGATCCCTGATTTTATAAATTTGAAATTTTTGCTTTGTGATTCACACCATTATTTTCTCTAGATAACACAGCTAAACACTTTTAGATGCGTTTAGTGTTATGTCTTTAAATGGTGTGAGTGGTTCGCCGTTATATTTTTAGTTCACAAATATTTTTCCCTCGGTCTGTTTTCCTCATAACTTTACTGTTGAAATATGTGGTTTAAACGGCCAAAATGTGAGACTTTATCTGGTGGTTTAGTATTTCAGCACGGCACTGAATTCGCGCTCATTATACTAAAAGGATACTGAGATATACTAAATCACGGGATAAGATTGAAATTGTGCAGAGCGTTGAATGTACAAAACCGGACATTGCAAATTTTAGTGGAAATAGTAAAAACATCTTTAACAATATTTGTTTTTCCTTTAGTACTCCACCAAATGTTGAAAATGACTGCCGTTAACCTCCATGCAATAATTTAATTTTATTTGTTCAAATCGGTGACTTGCTATTTGTTATACATAGTGCTCCGATTTAATAATTTACGACAGTCCTCTTTCTAGAATAAAAACTTCATATTTGCCTTAAACATAGGCGCCACTGCACCATGTATTCAGACACGTTTGATATGGTTTTACCCTTTTGTCTACTACCGATATGGTTTTGTAGGTGTTCGACTAACATAACCACAACGCAAAGATTCAGTGATTTTGTGAAAAAATCCATTCAAGACGTATCAATTGCAAAGCGGATCACATACGGCGCAAATAAAGAAAATGAAGAACTTTGCCGTCAACTTTTACTAACTCTCCATGCGTTAAGGGACCAACTGAATCCTGTATTTGAAGGCAATTTTAATAAAATTTTCAATTATTATATTACTAAACGATTTAATTTTTAGATAAGTCAAGCATCTTAAATACGGCCCTAAGTAAACTGCTCAAACGTCTATCAACTGAACTGAAAGGTCGCTCTCAACCCATCAATAAAATAGAGTTAAAAGCTATCGAATCCAAGACTCAAGTTCTGTCATATATTTCCAACTGCTTTATAAGGGAGTATAAAAAGCCTAAAACTGACGATCCTTCAATTCTACATGTGAAATTAATTTTGGATGTTTTGATGCGTTCAGAAGACCACATCACTCACCAAGAAATTGATGATTTGGAACTTGAAATTAAACGGTTGCAAAAAGCTGTTCAATTTGATTCAATTAAGAAAAGTTCCGCATTTATTCCTGCATGCAAGTCCAATGAAGAAGTGAAAGCACTTTCATTGGACATCGAAACAGTTGTGTTTGGACATAAGAAGTACTCCGATGATTTAGACCGCACGCTCTTAACACAATTAAAGAAATTAGCTTTGAAACTCGAGTGTTCTCTAAGCATCAATGAGGAAGAGCGAGTACAGATTGTTAAAGCCATGGGCTTTCCTCGTGGACATTGGTTCAAATGTCCAAATGGACACCCTTATTGTATTGGAAACTGCGGGGGAGCAATGGAGGAATCCAAGTGTTTTTGTGGAGAAGCTATTGGAGGAACTCGACATCGTCTATTAGGGACCAATCAACTTGCTACTGAGATGGATGGTGCAACTTCTTCTGCATGGCCAGGACCACTACATTAAGATATTCGATAGTTATATTTTATAATTCATGTTTGGCGTTTATCAGATTATTTTTAATCAGCGTTTTGTTAGTTATATTTAATCAAAACACAAGATCGGGTGAGCACATGCTCGCTGAAATTTATCGAGATTATTGAAATAAATTTAATAAACATTGTACAAAAATGTTTTCATTGGCTATAGAACTTATTAGTTGTAGTCTTTAATTTCGGTTAAAATTTGTTAACATTGTTCAATTCAGACATTTGTTGGAATTATCCGGCTAAAGTTGGCTATGTAATTATGTACCTACGTGGTATCTGCACGAATTAATGAGTTTGCTTATTTTGTTCATTTATGGTCAACTAATTGTTCTACAATGTCTTTGCGATTTTACATTACTTTCAAGAAAGTTATAAGCAATCTAAATTTGAATTTCTATGCATCGCGCCAAAACGACGCGCTAGCAGTTGCTGGACGGCTGACGTCACCACAACCAACTTTAGTAGGGTTTAGCTGGAGATTTGAAGAAAATTGCTAATAAATATACCGGTGCCGAACTGTACCAGTACTACGGTGTCTACACCAGAAACAAAAACATTTATAAACGTGCCTTAGGACGAAGAATTGTAGCCGCAATTGGTACAACGAAATGCGAAAGTTTCCAAAGAGATATTGACAAAAACTTGTATTTTTGATTTGCTCAGTTCTTTAATCAATCGTTGATGCAAACATTTCATCCGTTTGATGAAAATCCAGAACGGGCAAAACAGACAATCTTTGCAATTTAACTTTTTTATTTTCTCTGTACAGAGTCACTGGTTAAAATTTATCCACCAGCCCAGTAGTTTTTTACTCAATTTGAGAATAAACAGTTGTATACAAAATTTATTGCTAATCAAAAGTATAATTCATTTTTATGTATGTATAACCGCTTTAAACGTGCGCACTCAAAAATATGTAACAAACCAAACTTCCATATTTTTTAATGTAATAGTCTATATTTTTTCATATTCCATTTCTGTGAAATTATAAACAATGACCCTATACAAACCACAAAAAAACAAATAGTGTCTTGTCACTTTTTATTTTGTGAGGCCGTCAGTTCTGTCACTACTTTCATTATTTTGTTAGGGTTTAATTTTCGTAAAAGAATGCGTACACTCGATATAAATTCATGCAATTTAATGAACGCCTTGCACGATCTCCGTCCAATCCATCCGTCACGATCACTAATTTTTCAATGATTCTGTGGCGAACTCTATTCGCAACTTCTCAACTAGCAGCTCCAACCGAAACGTCAGCTATATCTCACCGCATAAGATCTGTGGCGTTTCGATTCAAATAGAACTTCCAACCTGTGTTCCGTATCCGCCGTCTAAGGCAGGGCCTACCTAAGCCTTACTGACGAGTCCAATAGGTAGGCCCGGGACGAAACGCCTGGTGCTTCAACGCGCGCCATAATTCCTTTACCATTTGCATGCGTTTGCGCAAGCACTTTCTGGGAATTTCTGGTGCCCAATTCTCGAGCTCGAAAGAACGTGAACGATCCCATCGCCGATGTGATCATTCCCTTCCCCGCTCTTTCTACTATGGTTCGAAAACCGTATTCTGGAATGCATAGGAAACGATGTGAGAAGATTTACGATTAAGAGACGAAGATTTATCTAACGGTCAAAAAATTGGCGGGCATTTCAAATAAAATATTAAAAATGTTATACCAGCTGGAGCTTA